TCCTAAAACTATTCCTTCAACAAATCCAATAGTAATTATTGCAACTATTATGACTATGATATTGGAATATTCACAATGATTGGAAAACTTCCATGAATCTATTAATGCTTCTTCTATTAACTCCAGTCCCAAGTAAATGATAATTGTGACTATGACTACTGTAGGAATGTAGTTGATGAATATTTGTCCAAAATATACTGTTATACCAATCAAAAACGCAAGTATCAGTCCTGCAACATGATTATTTACTCCCAATTTAATCAATAAAATTGATTCTTCATACTCAAAGGAAACTATGATGAGTTAATAGTGGTATTAGTATTAGCATTAGAATTATATAATTTTCGCTAAATAAATAAATAAACAATGATAGTTCTGTTCTAACCTTGAAGAGTTCCAGCAATTAAATTAGAAACTCCTTGAACAAACAACTCGTGATCTATATTTAGTTTATGATCATCAATTGAAACCTCCAATTTGCTAATCTTTACATGGGCATTCAACATTGCAAAAAATGTGAGGGTAAACATTGTAGAGATGGTTTCTCCTATTGCTTCCCAACTGATTAATCTAAAATCTATATATTGTTTATAATTAGTATATTATATATAAATAAATCAGCAAGTAAATTTACACACTCATACTTACGGAAATTAGAGTAGAATTCAGACATTGTGATTTGATCATCTAAAGCAAATATCCAACCTTGTTCTAGCAAAGGTTCCAAAGGAACACTCCAAAAATATGTTATTAGATAGAAGCCCCAGAAAATCGTTAAAAAACTTAAAGTGGTGACCAGAACATTATTTTTTTTATGTTTGTATCTAATAAAGACTGCGAGGCTTGATGCCAAAACAAATGATAAACTGCATAACAAAAAATTGTTCTTATGAAGGAATATTATTTTCAATGATTTGTAGTAATAATCAAAAGACTCGGAATTTGGCACTGAAATCTTTATAGCAGTATATATCAAGTAAATCCCAATACCACCAAGTACTCCGTTATAAATGTGTCTTGGGAAAATATCCAAAAAGAAACGAAAC